CAGAGGTCACTAGTTATCTAAAAAAATATATTCTTCCCTTCTTCCTGGGTACACAGTCACATATTTCCCAGTCCACCCTTGTAATTATGCGTGATCAGGGAGAAAACTAGTGGATGCTACCTGTGCCACGTTGGGCCTTTAAAGACCTTCCCTATATGCTATTCTGTAGCTTTTCTCTTGCCTACTGGCTATTATAGGGATAACATTTTCTAGTTACGGGACAGATAGTAAATATACTAGGTTCTGTAGGCCATCCAGTTCCTGTTGCAACTATCTGTTCATCTCTGCTTTTGCAGCATGAAAGCAACCACAGGAAATATGTACAAAAAATGGACATGGCTGTGTTCCAATCAAACTTTACTTACAAAAACAAACAGTGATCAGATTTGAACATGGATCAAGTTTATGACACCTCAAGGGGATTTGGGAAGGCACAGAGAAGTGGCAGAACTACTCTATTCTTTGGAAAAGGGCTGCTGTCAGTCTGAACCTTAACTCTGGACTATTATAAAAAGAAACACTGTTTTTCTTTAAACCATTATTTTTTTTTCCTGTGGACCTGTTAATATAGCTTAGCCTACCCTAACTGAATGTAAGCTAAGAACATATTTGTAAGTTAACCTTTGCATGTCTAAGATTCTTTCTAGTACATATATCTAAGAATGGAGTTGGTAAGATACAGAGTATTTGTTCCTTATTTTTAATAACTGATGCCAAATTGTCCCTCAAGTGGTTGCAAGGATTTACATTTTTACCAGCAGATAGACATTCTTGATATTCTAGTCTGGATAACACAAGAATGATAATGAAAATATAACTGACAACTTTGTGTTGGTATTTGGAGACCTTTGCAATTCTGTATTAATTTTAGGCTTAGTTTTCCCATTTCTATAAACATTGTTGTTGGAATTTAATAGGGAGTGCACTGAATATGTAGATTGAATTCCTTTTTTGAGTGAACTGGGCAGGATAATTTATTGTATACATATGGGTTATGTTCTGTTGATAAAGGCATCTACTTTTAACAATCTTTTAGCCAATATCTCTAGGAATCTGTAGTAATATCTTATGGTTCCTTTTCTAAAGATTAAACATATAATAACAATGGGCCTCCTTGGTGGTGCAGTGGGTTGAGCACAGCGCTGTGAAGCTGTTGGCAGCCAGGGTTCAATCCCCAGCTGGCCAGGGAAATACCTACATGGTGTGGTAGACCTCTTCTGTCGCGCCTGCTGCTCCCCTCAGCAGTGCTTTTGGTCTGTCTGCTTGTTCTGCTCCCCCTCTGTCTCTGGTGAATCCTCTCACCCTCCCATGCCTCTGGCCTGTACCCCAGCTATTGTATAAATAAATAAATAAATAAATAAATAAAGTCTATTAAAAAAAAACAAACAATAATGATGATGCTAATAGAAAAAGAAACATGAATAAATGCTTCTTAGAAGCAAGATAGAAAGGATTTGTCTACTTTGAATCCTTCATTTTATTTCTTTAATTATGTCACCTATGTTAATACATGTTGGGCTACAAAGATGACTCACAGCATTGCAAGCACAGACTCCCTAAGAGGAACAATGAGCTTTAGAGATTCTTTCTCACTGATATGAGTCTAAATAATCCTCTTCCCATAAAAAACAAGCAAACTGTGTTTGGGAACCCTTCATGGGGCCTCAACCAGTGATAGCTGGTGCATACTCTATAACCTAAAAAAGTCCAAAGACAAAGTGAAGGGCAATGTCAACACCATCCGGTAAATGCAAATTACTCTCGGTACAGTCTCAAACTTTTTTTTTAAAAAGATTTATTTTTATTTATTTATTTATACAAGCACTGGGTACAGTCAGAAGCGTGGGAGGGTGAGAGAATTCACCAGAGCCAGAGCGGGGAGCAGAGCAGGCAGAAGGACCAAAGCGCACTGCTGAGGGGAGCAGCGGGTGGCAGGAGAGGTCTGCGCGCCATGTGGGACCCTCCTCCTGGCCGGGGAGCAGCCGGGGATCAAACCGGTGCAGCAGAGGCTGCGGGCAGCTTCACAATCCAGCGCTCAACTGCTGCGCCACCAGGGAGGGCCCCTCTCTCAAACTTTTAAAGGGATTCAGAGATCCATAACACAGGAACAAACAGAAGGTAGCCTAAATGTAGTAGGGGCCTTGCAATGACTTTAAAGTCTGACAGAGGAATGGGCAGAGAGAACTAAGCCCGAGGTCTAACAATTCACTCCAGAACAGATGTGCTCAGTGGCCCCCCAAGCCTTTCCTTTAGTTTGTGAGAAGAAAGGAAATCAGTGACTCAGGAAAGAGAGATTCTAGGCATGTTGGAAGAGGAAAAAAATATCATTGTGTAGGGAAGAAAAAAAGGAATGAAGACTGGGTGCTTCCAGATTTATGCCTTTGGCTTAAGAGTTCTTGACTTAAGTTGAGATTTTCCCCATTCCACAGAGCTCAATAAAAGAAACTAAAACAGAACATCCCAAGCACTGATGACTGAAAAACATTTTATATTCTAAGGGTAATTCTGACAACAGTGTACATATTTTTGTGACTACAAGGTTGTTTCTTGAGACAAGAGCCAGGTCTTTTTTCAAACGTTTTAGCATCAATAAAGCTGACAGAATGGTGAGGAGGATAGAAGAGATAAAGGAACAAGAGATTAAAAATAATGATTAATGGTCCCACAGTAAATGTCCTATGTAGTATTTAATGATTAAAGGACAACATGAGAAACAAAGGATATATTACAAAGGAAAGCATAATGAAATTGAGATACGCTAATGAGGCGAAAGTAAGTATATGCTAAACCAAGCAGTATGACTTAGGCAATCAATGCTAGGTCATCGGCCTTATGATAAATAGGGTGTCCAAGCCCCCTGTGGCACACCTTGGAAAGTCTGCCTCCATTTTGGACTGTTGCCACTGCAAATGCCAATGCAGTGACTTTGCCCTAAGCTGTGCCCTGTGTCTCGCAGCTTTGAATGACTCAAAGGTACACCCTCAGCTCCTTTCATGATCAGGTATAGAATCATTTTGCTAATGGCTCCATATTAGAATAAAAGAAGAGAAAAATACAATAAGTCTTAAGCGTAGGGAACAAGTTAGTCATTTCCATGACTCACTTAAAACAAAACTCTTTCAAAAAGATGACAAAAACTTCTATTTTCTTTCACTGCAACACTACAATCCCTCCCTACCCCCCCAAAAGGAGGGGGGAAAGATGAAAAAATAAAACCAAGAGTGAAAACTATTCCAGAAAACTTTGCAGAATTGTAACAGCTTTCTCTTGGTTAAATTGATTGGTATAGCAACATTATACAATGACTATTAGGATTCATTGTGCACAACAGAAAGTGCTGAAATGTCAGCAGACTATACAGCAAAAAGTAATGGGTTCTGAACCCCTGTTAGTCAAAAATGATTTTGTTTCAAATTAGAAATTGATTTCTTTTGGACACAAGCCCTTTGCAGGCTTCCAGCTTCTGTAGCTGGACCCGGGAGAGATTAACCTCCACCACTGCAAGGCCTGGCCTGATGACACCTTCCTCCAAGTGCCTTTTCAATTGCAGCTTTCTAATGTGGCTGTGGTCTTAACCAATAACACAAGCTATTTGTCCCTTTGCTATTACACTACATTTTTCTCATTTTGTCATTTTATTTTCATGCTGACACACAACACAAATCTGTTGACAAGTTAACAGAAGCCTATGTAAGCTTTGCAGTGCAACCATCACACCAGTTGTGACGGGTTCTCCACTCTCCCAAAATGCAATGACTAAGAATAGAGGAAGCCAAAGTAAGTTTCCCAATTCTGAAGCATGACTAACAGAAAGTAAAGGCAATTCTATCTCAGATACCAACTCTCCTCAACTCATGTTTGTTTCTGGTAGCAAAGTCTAAAAAGAAAAAATTGTTCTAAGTTATCTTAGCAATAAAGGGTTACAGAACTTTCCTTGTGTCAAACAAAAGTACTTCTGCTTTTGTTTCAAATTGTGGATGTAGACAAATTATCATCTCTCAATTATCTAGAATTAAATAATTTCTTGATTGATCATAATTAGAACAAGACAAAACAAAAAAGCATGATGGAGGTGGCAGCGATGAGAAACGGTAGAGGGGTACGCCTGCAAGATCATCTCATGAAGTGTGTACCACACTCAAATGAGTAAGTGTGAGAGTGGCTAGAGGGTGTATGAGAAGTTGGTTGCTTCACACCAGAGGCAGGCAGGTGCTAGCCCACAGGAAAAAAAAAAAAGTAACTAAGAAGGAAATCAGGATAAATGGTTGTGAGAAAATTAAAAAAGAAGTCCAAGAAAGAGGTGTGAGCAGAAGGGGGCTCAAAGGCCTTTCTCGGCCCTTTGTTCTTTGAACATCTCTTAGGCACAATGATGTTCAGATGTTCCATTCTGTTCCCAAGTTGTCAGACACAATTGGGAAATCTAGTTAAATGCTACTGCTTTACTCAACATTTCAGTTATTTATAACTGGTTTCTTTTAAAATATCTATGACATATGAAGTAGGAAGAATTACTGGAACTTAAAATACTGCTAGGCTACATTAGCTTAAAACTTACAAGGTTTTCATTTAGCCACAATGTAGAATTATCTATGACCTGAAATCTAATCTCCTCGTATTTCCAGTTAACTGAGGACTAACTGTAGTTGCTAGGTTTTACTTTCTTAGTAAAGATTTAAGTTCTATTTCTGGCTTTCTTTACCCACATTGAACATTATTTTGTGTACATGACCATACTTACTGCTGAATAATTTTTACAGTTTACTGCTTACAAAAAGGGACAAGATGGATAGTTTCTTATGAGCATTCTAAGAGAAAAGCTGGTGTAACTCACTGATCTAGTAGATGTGCCACATTTGGCTTTGCCATCACACACCAGTTTGTCACATACTCACCTCTAGTTCAGGAATGTAGGAAACCATCTGGAGTTCCTGGCCAGCAGCCACCAGTAACCACCTGCCCCAAATGGTTTCTCATTTTGTTACTACAGATGCTAAACTCACCTTTTTGGGGTCTATATGTATCTTTCTTTTGACATGTCCACAGGGCGTTATCTTCCACAGGTGACTGAAACCCAACTGTCTTCTTCTCCCGCTTATTCTCCCCATTGCTAGAGGCATCTTGGTATTTTTTGATGGATGGTGATCCAAGCAGCCAGCCATCACATTTTGATGTCAATAGACTGAAAAGGACAGACAACAATGTGCTGTAAAGCGCAGCGAAGGGGATACAGATGGCACAAAGACATCTAATTTAGCATGAGTTGAAATGGATTTCATGGTAAGAAGAACTTTCCTTTCCTTCTTATTTTTTATTGAGGTACAATTAAAATAATTTACCGAAGGTCTATTTTGTGTCCTGCCAAAACAATTTTGGAGAAGAAATAATCTTTATTCTCAAAAAGTTTATATTTGGAGTTGGAAAAATGAGAATCAGATCCATGAAACTGCTAATAAAGCCAAGGAGTATGACTAAGAGGCAGGATATCTGGAGAAATAAAAAGTATGTTAAAACAAGACTTGCATTAATAAAATGTTTCCAAGTACTAAAACTGAACATTAGGGATTAAAATATCACCAATTTGCTTTGAAATGCATGTGTGCCTCTCATTTTCAAATGTTATAGCATTTATTATGTACCCAGAGTATGAAAGGAGTAGTAGAACAGTGCATGTGGAAGAATTGGTCTCTGTCCTCACATAATTTCATTATTTGAAGTTAATAAGGCAAATATGGAATAAAAGGAATTTTAATGAAAGTAAACACATGTACATATGTTTTTCTTTCTAATAAAATGCGTTGCCACTATTAGCACGTTTTCTCTCACAACATTATATTTTTTAGAGAAGAATGTTTTGATGAAGTGTTTCCTTTGCTATTCCACCAGCCTCCTTTTTTCTAATTTAAATTCACCAGACTCATGACGCTTTGGCTCTGTCTTCCCCATGCCTACAAACAATGTGAAAATTAAAGCGAAGAAAAAAAGATATATACGGTAAAAAGTAAAATTCTGAAAAATAGAACATAGAGGTAATCTACAACCAAGAAAAGTTGATAGAGAATTACCCTTAATAATGCCATCTGGCTCTTAATCATGATTCAAATCACATAAACCCATCAATGTCACTGGACTTCCAGTTTATGTTGATCAAAAATTTTAGTAATGTTGCTTATACCATAATTTATTAATAAAAACCAAGAAATGTAATGACTGTGCTTAGGATGACAGAAACAAAAACTACTAGCATAACTTTATATGGTCATAATGTAATGTATTAAATTTATATTCTTTAAAAATTTTTTTTACCAGAACCCAGAGATCATTTTTCCATCTGTACCCATATGTGGATATTCACAGAATTTCTATTAATGAGACAGGAAAATAGGGACATTAAAACTACTGTGAGTTAAAGATAAATTTACCTCATCCTAGAAGCACCAAACTAAGACTATTCAGTGATTATATCTCTGAGTATTCTTATAGAAAATTGATGTGACCAGGAGTACTGGCTTTCCCAAAATTCATTCATTTTCAGCTCAGTTGGGTTCCCAAATTCAGCCAACGCAAATTATTGATTGCTGCCTGCTTTTATTTAATCCCATTTTATACCTATACCTTTATTCTAAACCCCATTCTGGTGCTCTTCTATTTTAACAAGGGACTTGGCTTCTAATTTTCATGAAGTAAAGATGACTATATAAAAAACTTCATTTGCATCTAATGCCATCTTTCTCCATTTATTATTCTTCTCCTAATTCCCAGAAGAAAATTATACCTTCTATTCGTACTCTTGACACCATTTTGATTCATACTCCTGTCACTCTGCTGATAATCATCTTTTCTTATAATTTAGAAACTCCTCTTCCTCTCAACTGGATTATTTTCTAGGATTACGAAATAGATCAGACCTTTCATTTCAAATCAAAATCTAAACTTGAAACTAAAGACTCTTCCCTAAATTGGGAAAATATAACAACATTCAGTGTCAGAGAGGATGTGGGACAAGAACTTTTTAATGAACTACTGAGGAACTGCAAATTATTGTAGCCTTTTTGTGGGTGATTTTCAACACAAAATAAAAATGCCCTTACCCTCCTAATAATTCTACTTGTAAGAAGTTATCCTATAGAATTATATAAACAACACCATGAGAATATTTGCTCAAGAGTGGCCACTGCAGAATTACTTCTAATAGTGAAAAAAACTGAAGGTATGCATTACACAATATGAGATGGAATAAACAAACTATGACATATCCATCATAAGGAATACTGTTCAGTCATTAAAAAGAATGAGGCAGTTAGTAATCCATATTATTGTGGAGAAATTTTGACATACTATTAAATAAAATATTTTTTTCAATAACAGAATTTATAATTTATTCAATAATACAAAATACAATTCAAAATACAAAATATAATTTATTTCAAAATAAATTCAAAATACAATTTATTCAATATACAGAATTCATTTCTGTAAAGGCAAAAATAGTTTTGAAGTTCTACATGGATAAAATCAAACTAGAGAAGTAGAAGTAGAGTGAAAGGCAAAAGACTTTTGTAATTTATTTATTTCTGGGAAAAGACTTCTGTAATTTATTTATTTCTGAATGTTTTAATGTCCTTTATTAGGTATGTACTTTCGTAATTAAAAACACACACAAAAAATTCACCATCTCCTTTATATTACCATTTCCTTTCCACTTCCCTTCTCTGTCAAACTTCTAGAAAATAGTAATTAATTTTATTACACACACTTACTAAAACTATTTTTTTTAAAGATTTATTTATTTATGCAAGCACTGGGTACAGTCAGAAGTGCGGGAGGGTGAGAAAATTCACCAGAGCCAGAGTGGGGAGCAGAACAGGCAGACTGACGAAGTACACTGCTGAGGGGAGCAGCAGGCGTGGCAGGAGAGGTCTGTCGTGCCATGTAGGCCCTTGCTGGCAGCTGGGGATTGAACCGGTGCTGCGGAGGCTGCAGGCAGCCTCGCAGCCCAGCGCTCAACTGCTGCGCCACCAGGGAGGCCCAAAACTATTTTTTTTAAAAGAATAAATCTAGTAGTCTTTTCTCCTTCAATAGTCTTATTACTAGGCCATCTCACAGGAATTACCTCTGTTCTCAAAGTATTTTCCCTTGGACTTTATAATATATTATCTTAAGTGGCTTTTTAGTCTTAGGAGGCTTCAACTCGAATTCTATTTCTGGGAACTCATCCGCTTCTTTCCCCCTAAATGCAGTATTTCCTTAAGATTCTGTCCTCACCATCTTTTCTTCCCTGTAATACTTTCTTAGTGATCTTGCCACCCCATTTTATCTTCAATTCTGATTTTAAATAGATTCATGTAGCCCAAGTGCTCTACCAAATTGCTGACCTGATCAAGTATCTGCTGAAAAGTGGTGAAGGGATGTCCTATCAGACCTGCCTAAAGCAATGCATTATCTTTATCTTGAAGTTAGTTACTCTATTTCCATTCTCATTTAATGGTATCACCATTCTCTAACTCTTGTGAAAAACCTCAGTTGTCTCAGGCCTGCTTTCCTTATTCCTGGTCAATAAATTTCCAAATTAACCATTCCCTTATATATTCATAAATTTATATATTCCTTTATAAATTTGAGGACATAATTTATGGACCTGATAACACACGATGGTGTTGGGGTGGGTAAAGAGAAGACAAACCACAGAGTGGTTACAAGTTTAAGAGGTTGGGGCCTCACGTGGTGGCACAGCAGTTGTGTGCTGGGCTGCGAAGCTGCCCACAGCCTCTGCAGCACCGGTTCGATCCCCAGCCGCTGGCGAGGGTCCCACATGGCGTGCAGACCTCTCCTGCCGCCTGCTGCTCCCCTCAGCAGTGTATTTCGTTGGTCTGCCTGTTCTGTTCCCCGCTCTGGCTCTGATGAATTCTCTCATCTTCCCATGCTTCTGACTGTACCCAGTGCTTGTAAAATAAATAATTAAAAAAAAAAAGTTTAAGAGGTTGGAATCATGAGAAAGAAAAATAATACTATTAATCTGTTGTTTATCAGATGTGATAGAAAAAATAGTCTCTATAGCAGTACTCTCAGTTAAGACACCAATTTTAGGCAGTGGTCACGTATTAAAATTATCTGGGGGATTTGTAAAAAGAATGTTGTACTATCCACTTCTAGAAAGTGAATGAGTGAGTCTGGAGTGGGCCATGGGCATTGTTTGCTCCTCCATTTTAGAAGCTCGGAGGGGATTCCAAAGTCCAGCCAGGGCTGAAATCACCAAACTATGGCAAACAACAAGAGAAAACCTTCTTTTGATAAAATGGTTGAGGATGAAGAGAATTATCTTGTTCTGTTCATTGTAAAGACTTGGGAGCAGTGATAGTTCAGTATCTTTTTATTTTTACTGAGGTAACATCATGAGGTAATATCATGGTGTATGCGATTATACCTCTTCAGATACATGTTACAGGTCAGTAGCTTTTATCTTTTTGTTCTTGGCTAAAATGCACTAAATCTCTAGAACTGAGCCAGAAACTGGATGACATACCAATAATTTAGGTATGAAATAACCAGACTGAATTAAGCCATTGGTCCTAGGATGATGGGATTATATATATGTACCCCCCCCCACTTCTTAAAAGACAAAATTTGTTAAAAATGACTCAAGAAGAAACAGAAAATATGAATTGCCTCTTATCTATTAAAGAAATTGAACTGACAATCAAAACATTTCCACAAAGAAAAATAATTAGGTATTGTCACTGGTAAATTTTACCAGTGGTAAAATCACTGGAAAGAATATTATAAATCTTACCCAAACTTTCAGCAAACAGAAGAGAAGGGAACACTTTTCAACTTATTTTGTTACTTTGGTGATACAAAACCTGATTTAGTTATTACAATAAAAGAAAATATAAACTTGTTCCCATCAGGAATATAAATGTAAAAATCCTCAACAGGGCCTCCCTGCTGGTGCAGGGGCTAAAGACTGCTATCAAGCTATCACCGCCACTGCAGCACAAGTTCGATTCCTTGGCCAGCCAGGGAGCAGCCCACATGGTGCAGCAGACCTCTCCTGTCTCGCCTGCTGCGCCCCTCAGCAGTGTATTTCAGTGGATCTGCCTGTTCTGTTCCCCACTCTGTCTCTGGTGAGTCTTCTCACCCCTGTACCTCTGGCCTGTACCCAGGCTCTTGTATGTTTAAATA